TCACTGATCTCAAAAAAATGGCGGACTGTCATGAATAGCGAACACCGATTGGTCAAATTTAAAATTTGTTGTTGTATGACGAATGACGACTTTAACTGACAGATACTTCATGAAAATATTTTGCATTTTGCGCTACAGTTTTTTGTACATTTGCAAAAACATTTGGCAGCTTTAAAAGCAATTAGTTTTATTAAAACTTTTATCAAACAATTACGGTATCAAATACCAATTGAAAAGATATGGAGCCAAATAAAGAGCGGCAAGGAAACGACAAGAAAGCCGAGCGTCTAGCGAAAAGAAGGGAGCGAAGACGACAACGTTTGCTCGAGGAGACTGCTGGGGAAAGAGAAGCTCGCCTGGGAAAGCGTAGAGAGGCATGGAAAAGACTGCTGAAGCGAAAGGTAAGCAAAGGCTTGTCTTCACAGTTCACAACGCTATGTACCAGTGATACTGTAGCTGTACAAGTTGAAGTATGATATTCGACCTTCTATATTCGACTATTTCTTCACCATTTTCCAATAAAGAGTTTGTCATGACACGCTCAAGTCAGTATAACCAGACTGTATTTTATTTATATCAGTTATCACAGCCACAGGCAATTTTATGCTGTCAAATACCGTCGGTTGCAACTAGGCGTGAACAGTTGCAGATAAAACATTCTCTATTCTCATTAAAAAGCCTGTAAAGGTTTCCAGTAGGTCTCTAGCCCAACACGTTCAGACCACACAAAGTTTTTTTTATTTATTATTGTACACATGGGAAACAACAATTAAGTGTTGTTGTTCTTGACAAACATTGGAGATTCTAATCACGCGAATGTTTTTATGAGCGACTGTTCATCGTTAGTGGCAAGCGACGGTACAACATACTATGAACATTTTTCCGACTGTGACCGAATGTGCAACGATATATTTTTCAAAGTTGTTATCAATTCCTAAAATTTGTTTATAGTAAAACGGCCATGCTCAGCACTCACTATTCACGATGATTTCATTTAGAAATGCAGTTACCAGGAAAGGAACTGATTCTAAAATATGTAAATTTAAAAGCATTGGCTAACAGAATAAAGCGATGTGAAGACAAGGTATAAGCTTTTGTAGTTGCTATTTGTTATAAAATCCTATAAATAAACCGATTCAACAATAATTTTGCCTCGAATTTGCATATTCTATGCTGCATGTTTATATTTTATTTTTATAGTATAAAAATAAAATTGTAATAGTATGAAATAAAATACATTTCTGTTTAATGACCAGTACTTATTTAATGTCTTCTTCATCCAGTGATCAGAGTAAATTTCTACTTCTTGCAAGTAAATATTTGACAAGCAGTCTGGAATAAGCACAGGAATAAGCACAATAAGCCATTTTATAGTAGCAATATGAAAAGTTTTTTCTTTTTCCATGACTTTTAATGCATCAGCCTAATCCAAGTGTGCCCATCCCCCTCGCCCAGCCATTTTCCTGTAAAGCACATCCCGGGGGTTGGCATTTCCACTCGAACCTTATGCACTTATCATCGGCTTCCCCGGGGGTCGACCCCTGGGACACCCCAGGGGGAACCCCCAGGAACAGGAGGGGATTCGTTGTCTTTTGTAAAAAAATAGTGTCCCTCGGGGAAGGGGAATTGTTTGGGTTTGGTAACAGGCACTGTTAACCCCCGGGATAAACCCGCGAGATTTTGTTTCACATATGGTCAGCGGTATCTAACATATATGTCCAATAAAGATATAACCATCGGTTGTCAGGTGGTGAAGTATATACATATTATATTTTTATTTATTACCTCGAACATATTTGTCAAATGCATTTAAATATACTTAGCCAAATACTTTGAATTACGTTTCCCACATGAGAACCGTAATGTGAGATATAATATATTCATATTATATTGTTATTTATTACCTCGAACATATCTGTCAAATGTGTTTAAATAATAAATATATTCTGTCAAATACTTTGAATTACGTTTTCCACATGAGAACCGTAATGTGAGATATAATATTATATTTTTATATACATAGTTGGCCACAGTATATGTAAGTAATAATAAAATATAGCAACGTAGTATAAGCATCCTACACCGAATGACACCCTTCGACCATCACACACCATCTGACAACTATCTGACAACCATCTGACACACTTCGACCATCATACACAATCTTCATCTGACAACCTTCCCTGTATAATCACCCTACATCATCATACAACATCTGACAACCATCTGACACACTTTGACCATCATACACCATCATACACCATCTGACAACCCTTCCCTGTACAACCACCTTACACCATCATACACCATCTGACACACTTCGACCATCATACACCATCTTCACCATGAGACATCAGATATCGATGCCTGTATTGGACATTACTCATATCTACGAATCATTGAGTTCGAATAGTATAAACTTCATCTTACCCTAATTATTTATAATTCAGCGCATGCGCAAATAAATTCTTTCAAGCGTGCATGCTTTACATGCTTGAACCTGACATTTTTGGACGGTTATTTTAAAATTGTTTACTTTTCTGGTGTATTTTGTATCCAGTTCACCAGTTATATAATATTTTGTTTTTGTTAGGGATGTTATGTTTGCTTTTTTGCCCCGGGGGTAGGGGGCTGTAACATGATTTTTGTCATTAAACTTTCCCCTGTACCCAGGGGCTTTGTTAATGTTTTGTTCCACCCTCTTAACAAAAGCCCCTGGGTCGTTCGGGGGTCGACCCCCGGGGAAGCCGATGATAAGTGCATTAGCCCCGGCGGGGCTTTTGAAATTAAGGATTTTGAGGTTTTGCGATCACTGATAACTTGATAATAATATAAAACAAAACACTTCTATCTGCAACTTTTACAATCACTGATAGCTTGATAATAATTTAAACCAGTCAAGTTGTAGTTTCAATATCTGAGAATAATACATGGGTGCGCGGAAATACCAGATTTATTTCGAGTGTTGAACATGATATCACACAAGTGAGCGCAGCGAACGAGTGAGATGTCATGTTCAACACGAAAAATAAATCTGGTATTTCCAACCACCCATGTATTTTTCTGTTTATTATATAAAGGACAGTCTTTGAAAAGCGATAATTTTTACAGAAAAGCGATAATTGAAAAGCGATAATTTTCACATGTGAGATTATCATGAATAATTTCACATGTGACTGTGAGATTATCATTTTTATCAGTGCTCGAAATCTCTATAAAACACTATACATTATAACAAAAATTCATAAATTTGAACCACGCTAGAGCATGACAACAGCAAAATGCTTTAGAGTATGATGCACAATATTTTGGGAGGTGAAATACATGAACAATAAATCAGAGAGTGTTTACTTGAAACTCACTGGGGGGGGGGGGGTGCAACACCCCTGATAATTGTTCATGAGGAATTTCAGGTAGATTTCCAGTGCACTTTTAGGTAAATTTAAGTAGATTTGCAGAAGATTTTCAGGGGAATTCAGGTAATTCTCAGGACATGAGAAAGTGAATTTGGAAAATAACTGTATTTTCGGAAAAATTATTATATGTCCTGAAAATTTTTTGTACATCTTGAAACATTTTGGTAACCACCCCCCCCTTCTATCTAACCTCGCCCCCCCCCCCCTGAGACGAAGTGCTCGCAATGGCACTGAGTATATCTTTTGAAAACAGGCGAGGGGTTATTGCATGCATGTACTTCTAGTATATTCGTATTATATACAAGTGATAAATCTGGAGGAAAGTTTACAAGAAAGTTTGCATACCATGTGATTATTGTAGGAAGTGTGTCTATTCTAAAAATTGACATATGAATATATGTTTTTGAGGTAATTAACGCAATCAAACACTCGGTGTGCATAAATTAGCAGCATCAGCCGATTTCTTTGTTTGGTGTGAACTGATTTCTGCACACCTTTAGTATTTGTGTGCAGTTTATTTAAAGACAACAAATTCTCTGGTAATCATCAGAGTCACGATTTTGATTTTTATATTGGGTTTGGGATGCAATCTTTCTTGTAAACCTTGTCCAGATTTAGCACTTATATATACGTGAGATTTATTATAATACGAATATACAAGAATTCCTGACGCGACATGATCAAACCAATAAACCGTATTTTTCACACTGGATCAACATTTGTTTAATTAATAAGGATGATATCGCTGACTGGTTATCCTTCTAGTCAGCATTTGCGAGGTAAGTTTGGTCTTATCTGTAATGTGATTCAATTAAGATTAACTGTTACTAATATTAACTATTACTAATGACGGGGCCACGTGTATATAAACAAATGTATTGATATTAAAGTCTCTTTCAAACCTTACTACATGGTAGCAGCGGTGAAATACTCGAGTGATCAAAAGAAATTAAATAAACTTATTATAAACTAATAAGCACAAACAATATAAAAACAACAAAAGAAAAACATAGTATACGTACGTGTGAAATAGAGAACAAGAAACCTATTTCAGTATAAGTTAAATATGGCAGAACCAAACGAGGTAAATACCGCGAGAAGTTTCACAACATATCAAGTGACACCTCCGTCGAAATTTAACTTTTAATCCTCGGAGTGGACCCGATGGATTCGTCGCTTCGAGCGATTCAGAATTGCGACAGAACTCGACAAGAAAGAGGAAGCCAAACAAGTCAACGCGTTTATATATACTATGCATGGGCGACGAGGCAGATGACATAATAATATCGTTTGGTCTCAGCGAACAAGAAATGAAAAGCTACGAAACAGTTCGAAACAAGTTTGAAAGTCACTTCATCGCCAAACGAAACGTTATTTTCGAAAAACCAAAGTTCAACGTTCGAGTTCAAGACGAAAACGAACATGTCGAAAGCTTTATTACCGACCTGCATTGTCTTGCTAAGTATTGCGAATTTGGCGTATTAAAGGATCAGCTAATAAGAGATCGCATCGTCGTCGGACTGAGAAATAAAAAGTTATCTGAAAAATTACAAATTAGATCCAGATCTTACTTTAGCGAAAGCCATGGCTCAAGCCAGACAAAGCGAGGAAATCAAGAAACAACAAAACATTATTCATGAACAAAAATCGACAGGAAGTGGCGAGCATAATATTGACAACATTTCTAAGAATAGAAAACAACCCACGCGGGATTCGCGCGAAAAAATTTTAACGACAGAAAATACGGCAAAATGGACGGCAAACCCAAATGTACGCGGTGTCTCGGACCAGCGCACTCCAGGCAATTCTGCCCAGCAAGTGAGTCCTTCTGTAACAACTGTTCAAAGAAAGGACATTGGGCAAAAGCGTGTCGAAGCCAAGCAAGCCAACAACTTCGCAAGAAACAAGTTAACGAACTAACTTCCCGCCAAGAAACCGTGGAGGAAAGTTCGTCTGAGCAAGATGTCTACTTTTTGGGCGAAGTCGTACACATATGTATTCGATACTACATACCTCGATACCGTCAATAAATCAAGAAATAAACCGTGGATTGCAGACATAAATGTAAACGAAACAAATATTTTATTCAAAATCGACAGCGGCGCTGACGTCACAGTGATACCTTTAACAGTATATCAACAACGAAAACTACGGTCAACACTCAAGTCGACTGGCAAAGTTTTTATGGGCCCGTGCAATTGCAAAATGAACTGTGTAGGAACATTTACTTCACAGCTGCGACACGAGGACAAGACAACTATAGAAGACATATTCGTCGTTAAAGGACTCGAAAGATCATTATTAGGAATACAAGCAGTCCACAGTCTGAATTTACTCAACTGTGTCGACGCTCTAAACAGCAACGAAATGAAAGAAAGCGCTAAAGAAAAGTATCCCAATCTTTTCACTGGTCTTGAACAAATTAAAGACCAAGAGTATGATATTAAAGCCACGCACGACGCAACACCTTTTGCAATCACGGTTCCACGACAAGTTCCGATACCACTTCGAAAAGAAACCGAACGGGAATTACAAAGAATGGAATGCAACGGAGAAATATCTCGAGTTGAAGATCCAACCGAATGGTGCGCCCCGATGGTCGTAACGCCAAAAAGCAATGGAAAAATTCGAGTATGCGTAAATCTCACAAAGCTTAATCAGTTTGTGCAACGTGAAAACCATCCCCTACCAACAACCGACATGACATTTGAAAACCTTGCTGGAGCTCGGTATTTTTCAAAGTTAGACGCCAACTCTGGATTTTGTCAAATCAAGCTCTCGGAAAGATCAAAACCTCTAACAACGTTCATAACACCCTGGGGACGGCACTGTTTCAACGTTCTTCCTTTCGGAATAAGTTCAGGGTCTGAAAAGTTTCAGAAATATATGTGCGAAATTCTCGAAGGTTTGGATGGCGTCGAATGCAACATCGATGATGTTCTAGTTCACGGTGCAACACAAGAAGAACACGACCGAAGATTGGAAGCGGTTCTCCAACGACTTGGTAATGCCAACGTCACGCTAAATGCAAAAAAGTGTGTTTTTAACGTCTCGAGTGTGAAATTCGTAGGTCAGCTCGTGGGAGCCGATGGCATCAAACCCGATCCAGAGAAAATACAAGCGATTCTCGAAATTCCACACCCAACCACCCTACATGAAGTCCGTTCCTTTCTTGGAATGGTAAACCAATTTAGCAAATTTACCACCAATCTTGCTGACCTGACAAAGCCCATCCGAGGACTGCTAGTTACGAACACTGCGTGGACATGGGGACTACCACAACAAGACGCTTTTGATAAAATCAAGAAAGCCCTGACATCAGCACTGATACTAAACTTGTACGACCCCAACAAAGTAACCAAAATAGCAGCTGACGCATCATCATACGGCCTTGGAGCGGTGGTGCTGCAAGAAGAAGAACCAGACACCTGGAAACCCGTATCATTCATTTCAAGATCGATGACAACAACCGAGGCTAGGTATGCCCAGATAGAGAAAGAAGCTCTTGCGGTAACTTGGGCATGTGAATGGTGAAGCAATTACATAATTGGAAAGCCAATAACAATTGAAACTGACCACAAACCACTGGTACCTTTATTAACCAACCATACCATCGACAAGTTACCTCCAAGACTACAACGCTACAAGATGAGACTAATGAGATTCCACATCAAAGATGTTCGACACGTACCTGGAAAACTACACTACACAGCCGACACTCTGTCCAGGAAGATACCTGAAAGCAGACGGTCCAACCAACCGTAGAAGAAAACGAAATGAACGCTTACGTTTTAAGTGTAATTGATGCCTTGCCCGCATCTAATCCGAGATTGAAGGAAATCCAACAAGTCCAAGATGAAGACGAGGTATGCAAAGAAGTGAAGGAATACTGTATGGATCAATGGCCAGAAAACGATCATGTCACTCCTGCCGTTAAACCTTACTGGTCAGTACAAGGAGAGCTCACCATCGCCGACGGGTTATTGCTCAAAGGAACAAGACTGGTTATTCCATCCCGCTTGCAACGCCAAACCCTCAACCAAATACACGAAGGTCACCAAGGCATCAGCAAATGCAGAGAACGAGCCAAGATATCCGTTTGGTGGCCAGGACTCAGTGCCCAAATTAAAGTCATGGTCGAAAACTGTACAACATGCAGCAAATACAGACAGTAGCATCCAGAACCATTGATGCCAACGTCACTCCCTCAAAGACCATGGCAATTGATTGCAACAGACCTTTTTATTCTAGAAAAGGTTACTTACCTACTGGTGGTAGATTATTATTCTCGCTACGTTGAAGTTGTGGCATTACCTAAAAGTACAAGTTCATCGAAGATCATTCAAGCCCTGAAAACCATTTTCGCCAGGCACGGGATTCCTGACGAGGTACGTTCCGACAATGGGCCTCAATGTCATAGTGACGAGTGACGGGATTCAAACACAGTACCAGCAGCCCTCGTTATCCTCAAGCGAACGGCGAAGTGGAACGGGCGCCCAGTAAAGACAGTGAAAAACATCCTGAAGAAGGAACAAGATCCAACAAAAGCACTACTGGCATATAGATCAACACCATTAGCAAGCGGATACTCTCCAGCAGAATTCCTTATGGGAAGAAAGATAAAGTCAACAATACCAATAACGCTACCACATTTAACACCACAACTGCCAAACCAGAAACTCTTCATAGAAAAGGAAGAAGTATATAGATCGAAGCAGAAAAAGAACTTTGACAATCGCCACAAAGCTCAACTATTAAAACCTCTACCACCAGGAGCAACAGTTTATATCACAGACATGGATTGTACCGGAACAGTAATTAGACCATCAAAGAAAGCAAGATCATATCTGGTTGATACTCCTACAACGGTAGTGAGACGAAACCGAAAACAGCTGCAAACATTCGCAAGGACATTGATAAGAAACAAGATGAACAGGAAACAACACCATCATTAAATATAAATAGCAGACCTAACAGAATTAAAACATTGTCTTTGAAAGCAAGAGAAAATCTTGGACTAGAGTAGTTGACATTCAAAATTATTAAAACAGTAAAGTTACAATTAAGATAAGCGAAAGACATAGCTAAGTTGACATTAAGTTTTATATCTTTAAGAAAAGGGAGATGTAATGTGATTCAATTAAAATTAACCGTTACCAATATTAACTATTACTAATGACGGGGCCACGTGTATATAAACTAATGTATTGATATTAGAGTCTCTTTCAAACCTTACTACATTACCTAGATGTCACATTTGACCTAAGAACTTCCTCATTTAAACCGTACATGAAACCGGGAAATACGATTCAATATGTCCATCGTCAGAGTAATCACCCACCCGCGGTTTTAAAGGCAATTCCTGATGCAATTAACAATTGATTGTCCAACATCTCGTCTGACGAACAAGCATTTAATTCAGCTGACGAACAAGCATTTAATTCCTCCATACCAACATGCTTTACATAAGAGTGGTTACAACTACAAGTTAAAATACAATCCCCAGCATGCACACACAAAACGCACCAGAAACAGAAACGTTATATGGTTTAATCTACCTTACAACTCTAATGTCAAAACGAATATCGGACACAAATTCCTCCAAGCAATTGATGATTGCTTCCCTAAAAACAATCCTCTCCATAAAATATTTAACAGAAATACCTTGAAGCTGAGTTGCAGTTGCATGCCCAACATTCGTAATATAATTTCTGGGCACAATAAATCTGTAATAAAGCTCGCCTCAACAGATGCGTCAACATGCAGCACGAAACCAAGACAATGCAATTGCAGGAATAAGTCCTCGTGTCCACTGCCCGATAAATATCTAATATACAGCGTAGTATACCAAGCAACGGTTGTTAGGAACGATACGAATCAAAAGGAATCATATGTCGGACAAGCTGAAGGAGAGTTCAAATCCAGATATTATTGCCACACTAGCTCATTCAGATTAAGCAAGTATAGAAATGCGACAGAGCTGAGCAAATACATCTGGCAACTTAAAGAGGCCTACTCTGGGACATTAACTCGCCCTAACTCGCCTTATCTCGCAATATCTCGCAATAGCAATTGATCGAATTTTGCTTAACTCGCCCAATCTCGTCTTATCTCGCAATGATAAGTTGACAGAATTTTGCTTAACTCGCCTAAACTCGCCCTATTTTGCAATAAAACCGGCACAGTTTCACATCAGTAAAATACAAATACTGACAATCAAAATTCTTTAGACTCACAATACTCACTATATATTCTATGAGTTTGGCATTATTAGCTCATTTCAGAAAACATCCATACCACCCCCACAGAGGAAATTGGAAGTTAACCCCCCTACCCCCTTCGGATGTCCTAATACATTTACTATTATCAGAAACAATTTTGTCTCCCCTCCCCCTCCGGACGGCAGAAATTTCCTCCGTGGGGGGAGTGTGGATCTTTTCTGGAACGACCCATTGCAACTGACATCAACATACAAGTATGTAAGCCTGATTATCTGAAATGTTATCATATTTTTAATTTACTACATTCTATGTAATGCCATAAAGCAGTATTGATCAAATAATACTACCAACTACTGTACTTTAATACAGTAAGCAGGGCTTTGCAGGCATATACAGTAATACCCAGTATTTAATAAATCACAGTGAAAATAATTGAACATAATAACAGAACCCAACTGCCACGTATGGTTGAAAATTAATATTCCCATATATACTAATATACAGATCACTATCTATTCTATTTCAACTATACAATGATATCAAAACATCAAAAGTACTTGCTTAGCTTTTATACAGCTATCACATGACTATCAAACTTTACTAAAATACTGTTATACATATAGTATAAAGGTGTCTATGATATCAACAGCTCAAACTGCAAAGTTATTCATTGAACTGTTTTTATATACAACCGGCAACAGAACTACTGAACCAACGATACGCGCAGAATTTTAGGAGAAATATTTTAATACACAATCACATTCACAAAATTCATGAAAAATTGAAAATATAGATTTACAGTAAAAGCTAGCAAAGTTAAAGATGAATATTGTAGTAAACATACCGTGCTTGTCTGTCTGTGACCAACATTAAATTTAGTAGAAACAATCTGTAGTGACAAGGCTTTTTAATATCGTAATACATGAATAACATGACTAAAAACTTTAAAATGTTGATGCATAATTATCCCGCCATATTGCGTTTTAATACGGAATCGAATGATTCTGACTTATAGACGGCGTAGACTCCCCCCCCCCCGACCACAGAAGAAAGTACCGCGATGATGAGAAGGAAGATTCCGTTTACCAGGGGGGGGGGCGGGATGCTGTCTGGGAACAGATATTGAAAATATTGCTCCCTTCAGCGGAAAAATTACAATCTGCTTACAATACTTAGTGTTAGTGTTAATGAGAGGCAGTGAATTCTGAATATAAAAGCTTGATAGGAAATTGGAATATAAACTATAATACAGTTTTATACAGAGGAATCGTTGTCATTTACATTCATTTACGTTTCCAAAGCAAGTAAGTTGGGCATTAATTCTAGTATTATGACAGTTGGTTATCATTCAATATGCCATTGTGGTTCGAAATTTCGTTAATAAAAATAGTTATTAAAGTGCTAAATTTAATAGTAAATAATCTATAATTTCCTAGCAAGCTTTTTAGCTTCTCTTTGTTTCATATCAATGTTTATATTGAATTAAATTAAATATTGAATACAAGGACTTCTGCTTGCAAACAAATTCGAACCTAATTGATAATGTCATGATTCATGAAAACAGCTAAAAATTACAAAATCTGTGGTGAAGCTAGTCATAGCAAGTTAGCAACTGATACTGTGAAGATTTAGGAAACAATGCAGTTCTATACACACTATGCATAATGCCTCAAATTATACAAATAAATTTGGCATCTGGCTACCAGCCTTGTTTTGATGCAACTTGTTTCCAGGTCCCGAGTTATTGTGCATATCATGTATGTATTGTAGAATATAGAATAAAACACTTTTCTAGGCCTGCTACTTCAAGTACTGCATACTTGCTTTGTATAATGCACAAACAAAGCAAAATACATAGTGTGTATACAATATCCAGATTTTTTCCTTAACTCGCCTTATCTCGCCTTAATTCGCAAGGGTCAGTAGCCAGATTTTTCCTTAACTCGCCCTATCTCGCCTTAACTCGCATAGGCTCGCCTTATCTCGCGGCGAGTTAAGGTCCCAGAGTAGGCCTTTAAAGAGTCAAAGGTCAAGTACTCAATAAACTGGCGTATTATTAAGCAATGCAAGAGCAGTGGCGTAGACAGGGGGGCAAGGGGAGCTCAGCTCCCCCCCCCCTCCAATAGGCTGAAGGACTGCCCTTGTAAAAAGATGAAATCCGGGTAGAAATTAGAGGGGGATGATGACTACCCATGAGACTATCAATCTCATCTGTTCACCAAATTGTCTATAAAAGTTCTAATCTTTCCTAAATCTAACTACAGAAAATAATGCCTATGGTGGTTATTGATTAAAATGAGTTTTAAAACTTAGATTTAACTATTCACACGCGACCAAGTAAGCTTCGCGTGGAGTCAAATTAAGGATCCAGATTATTGAGAAATCATTAAAAATCAGGTCTTTCCTGCGGTAGTAATCTTCAGAATTATGCAAAATCTCTCCCCAGAAACACGGGAAATCGCCATTGAGGGACTCCAGATTTCAAAATTTTCCCGGACACCCCTAAAAAGGCTTACGCCTTCGGCGTTCGATATATGCCCCCCCCCCCAAAAAAATAATTATAGTCTGGCTACGCCACTGTGCAAGAGCTACAACAACACAACGAAACGCTGCAGTCTTTGTACACATGATAAATTCATAATAATCTACCACCCTGAACTTTGTTCTTTAAATTCAAGAAGTGAACTTTTGTCGAAATGCAGACATAGAAACAAATTTCTCTTAAGCAATATACATTACTTAATATAATCTGTATACATATGTAATCTATACGTAATTTAATACTTGAACATTCCGTTTACGTCAAACATGTATATAGTATATAACCTTGGCAACAACATAGCGCGACATTTAAATTCACCTGATGAGTGTGGCAAGCATTGCTTGTCATACGAAACAAGTTTGTAGTGAATAAATCTTATGAAGTAAACCAGGTTTATTTTATCTTTATCTTTATTAGCTCTATACTTCGGTATATCGAGCACTCTACTCATATATGATTCTAAATACATATTTGGTATATATACATATATATATATATATATATATATATATATATATATATATATATATATATATATATATATATATATATATATATATATATATATATATATCGAATCCCAGCCGCGGTCAAGTAGAATTTTCTGCTTGCCCGGTTTGGTATATACACTCATATGAAAACAACTCAAATACAATATATATATATATATATATATATATATATATATATATATTTATATATATATATATATATATATATATATATATATATATATATATATATATATATATATATATATATATATATATATATATGTATATATATATTAGATTTCGCTCTATGGCCTTTAGGTCATATTGAGCGCTCTACAGGATGAGCCATGCCGCTTACACATTGCGCACGCTCACTGCTTGCAGTTTGAGCGCTCTGGCATGGTTTTGATGTCCCACAAGGCATCAAAGGTAACTGTAAATAGCAGCTACTTTCATCCTGCTCATCAGCACTACACTGATGAGGCCCATAAGGCCGAAACGGTACCGTCTGTAGTTATATGTATATATGTATATATGTATATATATATATATATATATATATATATATATATATATATATATATATATATATATATATATATATATATATATATATATATATATATATATATATAAAGTAACAAATCAGGATTAGAAACAGCATTGGCTACCAAGAATACTTTTAAATTGATTAATCG